CTGGAACCAGTATGTGACTTTATTAAGGCAAAAAGACAACAGTGATCCTCAGAGACCAGAGAGAAGGAACCAGAAAGCACGTAAGTTGAGAAGGATTAGATGCAAGGGTCAGAAAATTGTCTCTCCTCCTGCCAATTCTGATCTCAGGGCTTGTTGCAAATACCCAAGTGTTTCTGTTCACCTTTGTTGCCCAGATCCCAGTTCAGCATCTGTCCTTGGCCCCATCCTATTCCCTGTCCCCAGTCTCTCAATCCTCCATCAGGACTCCTGTAGTTTTTAAATATTCTCACTTGCATAGCAAAGCAAGCTATGCAAGGAAGTTGGGCATCCTTAAATAAGTAACACTATCTTAGTTCATAACACCTAATTTAGTCATAAAATCTAGACCTAGACCTAAAGTATAAGCCCCACCTTTAAAGTTATCAAAAATGTTTTTCTCATTTTTATAAATGAAGTAACTGAAACCCAGAAAGATTGAGGGACTCATCAAAGTTCTCTTTCATTTAAAGAAGCAGATAAATATTTCTTACTTTAAAAATTTTTTTTAAAAAATAGATTATATGGGTGAAGTTGGATGAATATCAAAGAGTTTTTAAATGTCACTTAAAAACTACAATTAATAAATGTGCTCACCGCTAAGCCTTAAGTATATTTGTGTGTTTGTGCACTATACCAATAAGTATTAGAAGATAATAGACACAAAAGGCATTCCTTCATGATACATTTAGTCAATTCAACAGGGGAAAAGCAGGGATGGAGTGTAGGGCACTTTCTAGTCACACAAGTCTTTAGGTTCATCTCCAGCACTATAGGGGAAAATAAAGAAAGAAAGACAGAAAAGAAAAAGAAAGAAAAAGAGTAGACATGTTAATTTGTTTTTGGTCTTTGTCAATATCATATGGGTAATCTCACAGAGACACTTCAATGTTGAGACTCTTTATATCAAACTAAATCATCCTACATTGTGAACCATCTAAAATTTCAAAATGTAGAGACCTTCTAAACAAATAACTGATTTAAATTGGCAAGTGGCATATCTGTTTCTACAATCATTGCTGAGTGTAAGTTGATTTACTATCAAACTGTTAAAAATCTGAATCTATTATTCCACCTTGCTGAAAAAAAATCAGAGTGTTCCCTCTGGAGTCAACTAGATTTTAATTTATAGTCACTTATTTGGAACATATTAATATCAGAAGAAACCATCAAGTATGTTTTCAAAATCTGAGCAAAACTTTTTTAATTAAAAAATAATACCCAAGCCTTCTCTGTTCTTATCACTGTGCTAGGTAAGATATTATATATATAAGATGTTAGAATTGACTATGTAACTTATTTTGGTCAATGGAAAACATCATGTGCTTCTACTTGGCCCTTTCATTAATACTGAACTTTTTTTTTAATAGATGAAAATAACATTTACCAAGAATTTGATTACACTTTACATCGATCTTCCTTGGGTTCTTAAGTTTGTTTCTCAAAAGTATTCCTAATGTCTTTGTGTGACAAACCTGAGGTGTTTTTCATGCCTGAGAATACTTTTATAACATGACCTCATTTGAATGGTAATTTGGCTGGACACAAAAATAAAGGATTATAGTTCATTTCCTCTTAGGCTTTAAAAATGTATTCCATTATCTTCTTTCTGATCTTATTGATGAGAAGTTCAAAGTTAACCTAAATCTTTTTTTTCATTTTTTATAAGCAATCCTCTCTGAAATTTAATAGCATTTTTTCTTTTCTTTTGAGGCTTTTAGGTTTCTCTGCAATGTTTCTATGCATAGATTTGTTTCATCTTCTCTTGGCACTCTATGAACCCTTTATATCTAAATCTTACTTTTTTAATTCTGAAAAATGTGTATCCATTTCTGGAAAAATAAATTTCCAGAAATCCATTTATTTCTTCAAATATTTCCTTCTATTTTCACTCTGTTTTCCCTCTGAACCCTGTGTTATTTTATTTTTAATCTTCATCTCTTTAGCTGCTTCTTTTGTGATTTTTAATTCTTCATTATTTTCCACTGACTTCTGGAAGGTATCCAAGTCTTATTTTGCAGTCTACTAAATGAGTTATCAGCTGTACAATTAGGTTATTCATTTCATATATTAGGTTCCATACATTAAATAATAAATGTGTCATGCCTAATATTTTTACTTAATTATTCTTTATTATATAGTTTCATGTTATTAATATCATCCTTTGTCTCTTTAAATTTAGCATGCCTGTTTTAATTTATTGGTTTATATGTTAGAATAGTTTATGATATAGTAAGAAAAAATCCTCAAACTTTAGTAAATCAACATGTGCAAAGGCCAATAAGGTGCAGGCAAGGTTCTAGAGCAATGCCACAGGGTGTCTCAGGGATCTAGCTGGTTGGAGGCTCTACCATCCTGTAGCTGACTAATGTGAAACATGTAACCCACTTGGACCAAACAGCAAGGGAAGAGTCTAGAGAATCTTGTATTGGCAATTATAGGCTTCACTCAGGAGTGGAAACAAAACAAAAACCAAAAAAAAGTAACATTGCTTCCATTCTTAAATCATTTGCCAAACACCACTGGCATGATCCTGCCTAACTGCAAAGGTAAGAAAAGTGCAACCCTCTTGCTTGCCTGGAAGGAGAGAGATCTCATATGGCTGAATATTATAAGTCACTAGGGTACCTGTGTCCCAGCACTTCTGCCTTAGTTTACATATAATGTTCTATTGACCGATTTTCTTTTAAGCTGCTGAACTCTTCAGGTGTATGAAAGAAGTCACAATAAAGGTAATTGTGGTTATTTTTGTGTGTCAGCTTGGCTAGGTCACAATACAGATACTTGGTCAAACATTACTCTACATGTTTCTGTGAAGGTATTCTTTTTTAGATGAGATTAACATTTAAATCTGTAGTTTAAGTAAAACAGATTGTCCTCTGTAATGTGAATGGACCTCTTCCAATAAGATGGAGGCTTTAAAAAAAATATGTCTCTCAAGGAAAAGGGAATTCTGCTAGCAGACAGACTCTGAGCACAAACTGCAATCTTACCTCCTTTTTCCTGGTCCTCTAAGCTAGCCTACAGATTCCACCCCTATTTTTTCTCCTCTCCCCTCCCTCTCTCCCTGTCACATGCTCTGCTTCTTCTAAGTTCATCCCCTCACTAACACACTAACAATGTTTGAGAATCATAGACCACGTATTTTTGTAAATATGCAAAAGAAATTTAATTTCCACTCCTTTTCTATTCTAATATCTGTGATTTAAAGGGTATAGTTAGTACTGGCTGTATGTGTGTAGGAATGGTTTCTGAGAATACTCCTCTAGTGCATTCTACCAATGTCCTGCCTCATGATAGGGAGCTCATACTGCAAGATAAAACTGTTCTAATAGTGTTCTGCACTGAAAATATGGAGGAAGTAGTTGAAATACATAATCAGAAAGTAACATATAAAGAAATCGTTTCTATCATCAGAAATTTTAAGGTCAATGAAATTCTTTACCCTTACAAATACATTCAAAAATTTGAAATACATTATTTTAAATGCACCATACTTTTCTTTCTTTTTTAACATGAATCATGCAAAATAGTATATATCAAATGTCCTGTAATTATAAAGCTCAAAACTACAGCTATGTTAAAAATAAGTCAGTGTGTAAAGTTGTTTAATGCATCCAGCTCTTAATAATAAATACAAATATTGAATGATCATAGAATAGAAATAAGATATTTTTCTTACTTTAGATTATCTTTAATAATAATATGATTGTTGACAGAGGAAGAGTTGAACAAAAAGAATAAATCCAAAATAACAGGAAAACAATTTAATAAGTGCTTAAGAATTTTGATAGGAATTAAATTGTTTTCTAGATTTAATGATAATCTATAATTTTTTAAAAATATGTGTTTTGTTATTTGGTTGTGACTTCTTTTGTCATCCTAGATAAACGTTATTCTTTACACTTGATTTTATGTTTATAGTTTCCTTTGTTGTTGTTGTTGTTTTTTAAGAAGCTGGCAATGGGGTTATGGTCCTGGATGCACTCCTGCTCAGAGGTCTCATCCTCATGCCCTGTGAGCCCACATCTTCCTGGGGGTGTCACAGTTCTGTATGGTCAATGATGAATGGCACAGTCCCAGGTATCTCAGGCTCCACAGATGCCCTGGTGACATTTTCATTGACCAGCCACTACAGCGCTAAAATTAGGGTTCCTTTCACATCTCGGTGAATAACAGACAGTGGTATACTCTCCCCATCACTAAGCTGTAACCACCCCCCAGAAGGCTTTGATGGAGAAATAAATGCTGGAGACAAGCTAGCCAATGTACACCTGTTAGGAATACTCACCAGGGAGGACTTTTTGCCCTGTTGTCATAATACTGACTCTGGCACTGACCCTCTGGTCTACTGAGGTACACACAAATGTCTGTAGTAAAGCTTTCAAGCCACAATTATCCCTAGGCCATGCAAGAAAAAGCAAGTAGGAGCTTGAAAATACTTTCTCTTTTCAAATGTTAGCATGTATCAGAATTAGAGAGGGCTTGTTTAAATGGGTTCTTGGGCCTTACCCAGTTTCTTATTAAGTAAGATTGGGATGAAAGTTTTCATTTCTCTTAGGTACCTGGGTAATGCAGATGCTACTGGGCTGAAGAAGCAATTGAGAACCACTGTGAATAGCATTCTCCTATTTTCTGCCTCTAGCTTTCCTGTGCCCCAAGCTCCTACTTACTAACCAACTATCCTGTGCAAACCAGCTCTCAGTCTTCACAGTCTTTAACTCCTGGGAGGTTGTTGCTTTGTCAGCTCCTTAAATTCATAGTTCCCTTTAGCTTCTAAAATTTCTCCATCATTAATTTTGGGGAATGGAGTCTGAAATCTGTGTTATTTCACCATTTTGGCAAAACCATCATCTTTACCTCTTTAGATTTTCTTCTGTCTCCTTAGCTTATTTTTTCCTAAAAATCTTGGTAATGTGTCACCATGATTTTGCCAAGTTAAAATGAAATAATATAGAAAATACCTTGTTAAACAATTCTTGTTCAATTATGTAGCAACATGAAGTTCACCAATACTGTGAAGTAGTCATCTGAAATCATGTCCAACAGTAGACTGCGACTTTTACAGTGATTTCCCTCTGGAAAACACATCAAAATAAAGCATCATTTTTATTTACAAAACAAGCACTATTAAGAGTTTATAAAACCAGGGATTGTGAGCCCCCAAGTATAGTTATACAAATTCTACACTAAGAATTTTGAAACTGTTCAAAGTTCCCCTTGTGTTAGGAACAAAAGTCATCAGAATTTAAATTATGCAGTATTTTAATTATATATATTTGGCTTTTCATAAATTTTCATTTATACAAATAATACATATAATAAATCATTATAAAATAAAATAATAGCTTATGGCCAATGATTCATCTTAAAGAGGAAAAACAAACATTTTTTTAATGAAGGAAAGCAAAAAGGAATAAGAAAAGGAATCAAATTATATATTAAGTAAACTACAGAAAGATTGGGATCTCACCAATACAGCTTATTCCTTTCTACCTGACTCACCAGAAAAATATCACCATACATTCCTTCTCTGTAAGTGGCTATATTTGTATTATTTGCTTTCAGGCAGAGTCCACTGATTGCCCTAAACCTGTTTGCAATAGAATGAAGAAGAAATTGTAGATTTGTGCTCAGCACAACAGAGACTAATGTAAGAAGTGATTTTAAAATACTGGAAAAAATACACTCATTCAATACACGTGTGATTTCTTACCTAATTATTCTTCTAGGACCTTCCCTAGCCTATTCTACCACTTCAACATACTGAAACAGAAAACACTCTGGGAAACACAATATAAAAGATCTAAAATCAAAAACGAGGTCTTTTCTCTTTAAATTAGGAAAAGCTGAGGATAATTTTCCCTAGCTCTTGGGAGACAGCTGTCAAGATGGCCACAAACACTAAGCTCAGTCAGTGCCTGAGCAGGCTGCCTCTAAAGGAAGCTGAAGGTCCCTTGTGCACGGCCCCATTTTCCCTGAAAAATGTTGTGAAAAATGAGTACCAAGTTGCAGTCATTTAAACAATTTAATAATTTCCCTATAGCAGAAAATAATTCAGATGCTTCTGTGGAATAGAGTGGGATTAATGATGTAATTACCCTTTGATTATGAAGGAATCTTACTCTATTGGAATCTACAAAACTATAAATGAGTGAATTGTTTTTGCAGGAATGTTAGTGATCTTAGTTCCTAAGGAGCACATTGTTTAAGACAGTGCTTTACTCACCATGTAAATGATTTCATTTCAATGGCTCAAGAAGAATGACCATGGGATGCTATGGTTGCAAATTCCTTGATGCAAATTCAGTAAAAGTTGAATCTGCCCCCTGTGGTCTTGACTGTGATGAAAGTTTCCGTTGCACATGTCAGAATTGTTTGTCAATACATTTCATTGATCTGGAAATGCCCATGCATTAAAAAAAAAAAAAAAAAAAAAAGCCTAATGAAGGATCTGAAATCCACAGTGAGCAGTTCTCCTTCGGACAATACTGGTTTTTATTAGGCATATGACTGCAATCCTCAGCCACAATAGAAAAAAGATAACTTTGGAGATGCAGCAAAGTTTGGAAAACAGGCAGGTATCAGAGAAAATCATTGGTGTATCTCAGTATCTTCACAGCTGTCTGTGTCCACTTTCAAATTATAGGGCTCTTTATCCTTGGACGAAGTTATTCTTTGTGGACTGATTTCAGCGTTTTCTCTGAACATGAATGCTCCAGCCCCCTGTGGTATCACAAAGAGAAACTGAACAGGCTGAACCCCTCACCTTCATAGTTGCTGAAGACAACAAAAGACTCTTCATCAAAAAGGACACCACAGTGTGCAATTCCTGCACATAAGGTGCTACCATCTTCTAAAGTATGATGTTCTGGATGTTCACAAACAGTTTTCTAACACAAATAACCTTCTCACTGAGAAAGCAACTGTAGATATATTTTGCCTCAAGGCAGATAAGTTGCAAGGTGGGGTAGAGTTCCTGCAGCATGCTCCTTTGCTCCTTCCTCCTAAATTCCAGAGAAGAAAGAAGACTTTTTTTTTTTTGTATTTTTTGTATTTTTTTGTATTTTTTGTATTGTTTGTATTTTTGGATAAAAATACAAACCCAGAGGAAAAACAGTAGCTACCATGTTATTCCCTCTGGGCAATGTACTTGAGTTAGTGGAGGATTTCTGAAAACACACATCACTTTTACTCTAAAGGATTCTATGGTTGAGCTTTCTAGTGTTGTGAGAAATCAGATGGGAAGATAATTTGTGGGAGGGAACAGAGAGTAGGTCTGACTAGAATTGAGGTTTTGCCATCAGAATCATTGGGGCTATCATCTCACCCAAACAAAAATGACCCTTCTGAGTTAGTTCCTCCCAATCTCTGAGGATTGTGTTCCTTGTCTATGAAATGAACATTGACAAAATTTTCTCTAATATCCATATAAGTTTGAATAAGATGTCTTAAGACTTTTCCTTTAAAAAAGGCTAACGATAGAGATCACTGCAATCACAGATGTCACCATTTCGTCTTCTGCCTTTGGCTTTAGAAGATTCAGTTGAGCCAGCATTTTGATTACAACATTATACTTCAGACTTGGGCATAGCTGTGTTTGAGTACCATGAATATATGAAAGTTCATACAGAACATACCACAAAATCATTGCTGTTTTTATCATTATGATATGAATTTGCACCTATGGAGAACAATGACATTGGCCCAGTCATTTTCCTCTTCATCTCTCAGCATCAATCCATCCTTTTTGATCCTTTCAGAAACCTGTAAAACTCCCAATTCCATTTAGGAGGAATACTGAATTCTGTTCCATGAGTATTCTCCCCTTTTATTTATTGCTGTAGAGCTTTGTTTTCTTCACCTTTACATTTAGATAACATAGAAAATACTATTGGTTTCACCCATTTTGTCAAATCTAGAGAGATCTTCACTTTATCCTAGATGTTCTATTTTTAAAATAACCATTATTCACCAAGTTTTTTAATCTTTTATTTTTCAGGTTTCAAAAATTATGCAAATGCTGGTTTTTAAAAGTTGAGAAGGAAGACAAGAAACATTTCTACAAAAATAGGTGTTTTTTTTTTTTCAAAAAGAAAAAGAATAGAAGAAGTAGGTTGGCGATAAGGGGAGGGAAAGAATAAAAAGTCTGTGAGCAAGATGCCTGCCTAGTGTGTCTAAAGGGAGAGAGAGAAAACTGGAAAAGAAACAATGAGGAAGTACTGCACAAACCAGCAGCTGGACCTCAACCAGATACTAGATCTGCCAGCACCTTGATTTTGGACTTTCCAGCCTTCAAAACTGTGAGAAATAAGTGTCTGTTGTTAAAAAAAAAAAAAGGAAAAGAAATAAAACTACATGGAGAAAGAGTACAGATTGAGAGACCAATTTAAAGCAGAACTAACCAAAAAGAAGTAGAGGATTTAAAAAAATAATACAGTAGGCATCAAAAAGAGAAAGTCTGTTAAAAAGAGAAAAGAAAAAATGGTAGCAATATTTTTATATGAAAAATTAAACCCATATTTGAATAGAAAAACACCAAGTAAGTATCTGATGGAAGGTTCCCATGTCACACCCCACTCCTCAAAACTGGAGATTCTTTAACTTAAGCTTTATGACCATATTTTCTCTAAGATCCATATGAGTTTGAATAAGATGTTTTAAGACTTTTGCTTTAAAAAGGCTAACAATAGAGATCACTGCACTCACAGATGTCACCATTTATAGTTTTTAAGCCTTACTATCTTACTATTTTTCATTACTTTTACAATTATCCATAATTCTAAATAATCCATTGAGACACAAATTTATTCCTATTCTTGGACAATTTTTCCTCTTGAATCCCAAGAAGATAGTTCAACCACCACTGAAAGGATCTATAAAAATTATCTAAGAAAATATGATTAGGTTTATGGGTCTGTGAAATCCTATACCTCCAGATGTCATACTTACTCAAGACAAATAAAACTCAAAGAAATAAAAATTAATCCAAAGAAATTATTTTCTAGTTGCCCAGAAGCTAAGCAATAAACCAGAGTTAAAGAAGGAAGTGAAGGAGGCAACTCAGAGATAACTGCTCACCAACTGCCTTTCACCTGGAGTCACTGCTGATCCTACTGACCTTGAGCTTCCATTCTGATGCTCTCTTGGGAACAGTAGACCAAAGACTAACCCTAGATCCTACAAAGTTGGGAATTGAAGGGGAGACCTACCTGAAGTTGGGACTCCAGAGGATTGTACCCTCATTCACAAGGCGAACTGGACATCAAAGTGCTTCATAGAGGAACTCTGCCTGTCTTGATGGGCAGAGGGAACAACAACAACCCCCCCCCC